GCGCGCTTCAAGGAGGGCAACTTCCTCAACTTCAACTGCGCAAAGGAGCCGTGTTTCTGGATGCGGCGGGCAGGGGTCGGCGGTGGGTTGGGGGGCAGGCAGCGGCGGAGCGTTCGGGGGAGCGGGGGGGAGGAAGGGAGGGAGGCACGAGCGGGGGAGGAATGGGGAGCGAGGGGGCGGGGGGGGGAGGGAGGAGGGGAGGGAGGCACGACGGGGGCGGAACTGGGAACGATGGGGGGGGGGCGCGGAGGGAGGACAGAAGGGAGAAGGAGCAGGAGGGGGGCTGACTAGACTCCATCAAATCCCGATTTCCCCTCTTTCTCCTTCTCCCCCTTCCTCGTCCCCCCTCCTCCTATCCCCCCCTTTCATCGATGCCCTCCCTCTCCTCTCTCCCACCCTCCTCCTTGTTCTATTCCTCCCCTTCCTCCGCATCCCTTTGCCCCCTCCGTCCGTCTCATCTCCTCCTCTTCCTCCTCCTCCTCCTCCTGCTCCTCCTCCTCTTCTCCTCCTCCCCCTCCTCCTCCTCCTCCTCTCCTCCTCCTCCTCCTCTTCTGTCACTCCTGATCCCCCCACACTCCTCGCCCCTGTCCTCCTCTCCGTCCCCCTCCACCCCCCTCCGCCACCTTCATCTCCTCCCCCTCCTCCTCCTCACTCCTCCTCCTCCTCCTCTCTCCTCTCCTCCTCCTCCTCCTCCTCCTCCTCCTCCTCCTCCTCCTCCTCCTCCGCCCTCACTGTCTCCTCCTCCCCCCCCCCCCGGGGGAATTGGCAAGGGGGGAGGAGGAGGGGCAACAGAACCGCGGCCCGCAGTGCCCGCGGCCCACCATGCGCTGGGGCCAGGCGCAACCAAGCTGGACCTACTGGGCGCTGCCGTTCCTCGGGCGGTGGCTGGCCGCGAAGATCGACGGGCGCGAGGAGATGGGAGGCGTGCCCAGGAGGAGGAGGAGGAGGAGGAGGAGGAGGAGGAGGAGGTGGAAGAGAAGGAGCAAGAGGATGATCATGATGGTGATGCTGCTGATGATGGATGATGGATGATGGATATGGTGATGATGATGATGATGATGATGATGATGATGATGATGATGATGATGATGATGATGATGATGATGATGATGATGATGATGATGATGATGATGCTGATGCTGATGATGATGATGATGATGATGCTGATGATGATGATGATGATGCTGATGATGAGGATGATGGTGGTGATGATGACGATGCTGATGATGATGAGGAGGAGGAGGATGATGATCGCGATGATGATGATGATTCTGATGATGATTATGATGATGATGATGATGAACATGATGAAGATGATGATGCTGCTGATGATGGTGATGACGATGATGATGAGGATGCTGATGATGATGACGATGTTGATGATGATTCTGATGCTGCTGATGTTGATGATGTTGATGATGATGATGTTGGTGCTGATGCTGATGCTGATGATGCTGATGATGCTGGTGCTGATGATGAGGAGGAGGAGGAAGAGGAGGAAGAGGAGGAGGAGGAGCAAGAAGAGGAGGGGGAGGAGGAGGAGGAGGAGGAGGAGGAGGAGGAGGAGGAGGAGCAAGAGGAGGAGGAGGAGGAGAAGCACGAGGAAGAGGAGGAGGAGAAGTAGAAGGGGGAGGCCCAGTGTAAGCCCACGGCGCATCAACCATGTTGCAATCAACCCTGCCTCCGCATTCTCTCTTCATTTAGTTCGCACAAGAACAGCGTTTCGTTGCGGGATGTGGCCCATTAGAAGACAGCCGCCTGACCAGCCTCAATCGTGCCAGGACACATTCTCGGGACTTCAACGCCACGGATCAACGCGACTGCTGCGTCCTGGCAGTCTTACGTCATGCCAAACATCATTCCTGTGGCTTGAACACCGCGGATCAAAGTGATTGATGCGTCCTGTCAACCCTACACTTTTCCAGAATATTCTAGCCATTCGAATCGTCGAGACTCTAGCAAACGTGTACAATGACTGCGCTCGGCGCTCAAGCCAGAGCCACATTTTGGAAGGAACCGCCCACCACCCTTGAAGTGATTGCAAACTTTGAAAACAATGTGCGCGACAGTAGCCACATTTTGAACATTCTCTCGCCCTCAATCCTTGAAACTGTTGCAACCGTCAAGTTTCAGGACCGTAGACGGTGAGGAAGACTCAGGCGAAGTGCCCAGCCCGCCCTACCGTCAAGTCGGGGGGTGCGACACGGAGGAGTTCTTTATACAGAAAAGGGGATGGAGGAGGAGGAGGAGGAGGAGGAGGAGGAGGAGGAGGAGAGCGGAAGGAGGAGGAGGAGGAGGAGAAGGAGGAGGAGAAGGATGAGGAGGAGGAGGAGGAGTGCGGATTGAAGAGGAGGAGTTCTATATACAAAAAAGGGATGGAAGAGGAGGAGAAGGAGGTGGATGATGATGATGAGCAGGAGGAGGAGGAGGAGGAGTGCGGATGAAGAAGGCGGCAGAGGAGGGGGGAGGAGGAGGAAGGCGGGGGAGTGAAGAGGGAGGA